TCCACGGATCTCTCATCTCTCATGACTCCCTCATCCATGGATCTCCCATCTCTCATCACTCCCTCATCCACGGATCTCTCATCTCTCATCACTCCCTCATCCACAGATCTCTCATCTCTCATGACTCCCTCGTCCACAGATCTCTTATCTCTCCAGACCTAAATATAAATCTTTTAAAAAGAAATGAAGAGGGGCTGGAGAGACAGCTCAACAGTTTAGAGCACTTGTTGCTCTTGCAGAAGGACTCAAGTTCTATTCCCAGCACCCACGGTGGCTCACAACTGGCTGTAACTCCAGGTCCAGGGATTTGATGCATTCTTCTGGCCTCCACTGGTACCAGGCATACACGTGAGGCACATATCTACATGTCAGCAAAACATGCATTCACATAAAATAAATCTTAAAAAAAAAAAAAAGGAATTAAAATAAGCCACCAGCGATGGCACATGCCTGCAATCCCAGCACACATGAGGCTGAGACAGAGGATTGCCGTAAGTTTGAGGCCAGCCTGGACTGCATGCTGAGCTCCAGGCCAGCCTAGGTTATGCGGAAGACCACTTCAACAAGCAAACGTGCGTGCGTGTGCGCACGCGCGCGCACACACACACACACACACACACACACACACACACACACGATAAATATATGTAATTTTAAACAATAAAATAAATAGGACATTTAAAATTGGTATTGAAGTCAGGCGTGGTGATTCATGCCTGTAATCCCAGCACTTGAGATGCTGAGGCAGGAGAATCAGAAGTTCAAAGCCAGCCCTGTCTCAAACAACAACAATCAGCTAGCTAAATAAATAATTAGGTATAGTTTGATTCATTTAACAAATAAAAACCAAGTGTATTATATGTTAGGAAGACATAGTTTTGTGAAAAATAATAATTAGCCTCCGACGGCACAGAGAGAATGGCATTGTTTTACATTTTTGAGAATCCATTTAACGCTGGTTATAATCAGAGGTGGCTGGGTTTTCATAACCTACTTCTGCATTCCATCTGGAATGTGGATGAACAAGATCAAACCCTCAGATACGGAATTGAAAAGGGAAGACCCTCGAGGGGGTATGAAAGGGCCTTAGGGACCCCCAGGTGTTCTTCGGCTGGAACTGCTACTGAGCATGGAGGCGTTTGGGGCTTCAGAGGACGCTCAGAGGCATCCATGGGGCCCCTCCCTGTTCCCCATTGGGGCCCTGGTGCAGCTGGGGGAGACTCTTTCCTTGCTTTTTATTGCCCTATAAAGTTCAAGGCAAGGGGGATATAAGGCTGGCAGAGCAGAGCCTGAGAGGGGGGTGGGCGGGAGGGAGAGGCGCTACTGGTGTAAGCAGACAAGATGAACCCCCGATTGGTCGGGATCCTATTCTGCGCCCTGCTAGGCACTGCCTTGGGTAAGAAGGAAGCTCATATGCCTTTGGCACTGGCCTGTCCTTCCCTCTGCCAGGGCTCCTCTAAGGGCCGGGTCCCGTACCTCTTTTTTCCTGCCAGGACACCGCATGCGGTGCTATGACTGTGGTGGTGGCCCCAGCAACTCCTGCAAGCAGACCGTGATCACCTGTGGTGAGGGTGAGCGCTGCGGCTTCCTGGACCGCAAACCCAACCCAGGACAAGCCAAGCAACGTGAGTCCTTTGTCGTCCCCGTCCCCACCCCCACTTCGCACTGCTTCCAACAAACCCCCTCTTCAATCCTGCGGGCTACCGCCCGTCCAACTTCAGTCTGGCTCTGGGCAGATGGTGCCCCTGTTAGGGCGGGCTAACCCTACTGGCTCCTGGCACTGTGCCTTGAGGAGCCCACACGCCTCAGGCTCTCCCCTTGCTCTCCGTGAAGAACCTCATAGGCCCTTACTAGGGAAGAAACTGTCTCCTAAAACCAGAGTCAAAATGTTAAGCCAAACTCCAAACTTCAACTGTCAGGGACTGGGTAAGAGCTGGAGAGAGGTGCGCGCGTGCGTGCGTGTATGCGTGTGTGTGCGTGCGTGTGCGTGTGTGTGTGTGTGTGTGTGTGTGAGAGAGAGAGAGAGAGAGAGAGAGAGAGAGAGAGAGAGAGAGAGAGAGAGAGTGTTTAATGTTTTATTTTGAAATCATTTGGTTTAGCAGGAAAATTACAAAAGAAATGCAGAGTTCCTGTTTCTACCCAGCTTCTTCAGATGCTAACTTTCCATTCCATTACCAAAACCAGACAGAACACGACAGCATGATGCTAACGAACCTGGACTTAGATTCAGCAGCCCAAACTCAAAGCAGAATACTCTCATTGACTTTATTTATTTTAAAGTGATTATTTTGTTTGTTTGGTTTGTATTTTTTGCTTGCTTGCTTGCTTGATTGGTTAGTTGATTGGAGACAGGATCTCACTGTGTAGTGTTGGTTAGCCTGGAACTCACTACATAGACCAGGCTGGACTTGAACTCACAAAAATCTGCCTCCTTTACTGCCCGAGTGCTGAGATTAAAGGCAGGTGTCTTGCTTAAAGTGATTTATTATTATTTTTTTTTAGATTTTGAAATTTATTTTATGTGTGTGAGCACTTTTCTACAGGTGTGTTTGTGTACCACAGGTGTGCCTCCTGCTGCCTTTGGCGATCAGAAGGGGGGGGGGGGGGGGGGATATTCTCCAGAACTGGAATTATAGGTGACTGTGAGCCACCAAGCGGATACTGGGAGCTGAACCGAGTCCTCTGGAAGAGCAGCCAGTGCTCTTAACCACTGAGCCATCTCACCAGCCCCAACTTATTATTATTTTTAAAAGATTTATTTTTGTGCATGAGTATGTCTGTCTGAGTGTATGCCACATGTGTGTGGGTATTCTCAGAGGCCAGCAGAGTGTATCAGATCCTCTGGAGTTAGAGCTGGTCACAGGTGTTACAGGTGGTTGTGAGCCTGGTGTGAGAATTCGGTCTTTGGGAAGGGTGACAAGCTCTCTTAGCCATTAAGCTATCTCTCCAGCTCTGCATTTTTTTTACTTATTTTTAGGACAGGGTCTCACAAGTCCCAGGGTGGCCGCAAACGTGATATGACTCCATGTCCTGTTTATTTTAGTACTGCAGGTCAAGTCCAGGACTTTTGTGTCCTAGGCAATCATTCTACTAAGTGAACTACATTCCCAGCTCTATTTGCTATTTTTTGGGGACAGGGTCTCGACTTTATAGCCCAGGGTTACCTTTAAGTCAATGTGTTGATCAGACTGGCCTTGAACTCCTGGCAATCCTCCTGCCTCAGCCTACTGAGTGTGACAGGCATGTACCACTGTGCCCAACTTTAGCTGTATTAACTCCACAATGATACCTTATTTTACAGATTGTCCCTTTTGTATTTGGCTGCAATTTTCCCATGTTGAGGCTGAGGCAGGAATGGTCCTAGGTTCTTGGAACACCTTAGCATCACTGCCCTGGGTGGACTTGCTGGCTCCAGTGCCTTGGTTTCAGGGAGGTGTTTTTTAAGGGGACAGAGTGTCCCTTTAAGTCCTGGGAACTTGCGTCTTCCACGGCGGGCAAGTCCTGAAGTCAGGAACTCAACACCCTGTGTCTTTCCTTCTCTCAGCCTCCGTGACCTTGGGTCAGCACCACCCCGCCTGTGTGGCCACCCATCATTGCAACCAAGTGGACATAGAGTCAGTGGGAGGTGTGACTTTCACAACCCAAAAAAACTGCTGCTTCGGAGACCTGTGCAACGGCGCCGTGGTGAGCTCCGTGACCCCTCTCTGTATCTTGGCGGCAGCTGTTACCACCCTGGCCTGGCTCTTGCCGTGACTATAGAGCGAGCAGATGGTGGGACTGAGGGCAGGGAAGGGACCAAGGGAGCTGGACATCCAAGGTGAGAAAATAGGCACTCCTTTGCGCACCATTAAAGTGTATGGACTATTCTAGAGCTGACTATTAAATTCTATCCATTTTTGTTTGTTTGTTCGTTTGTTTGTGACGAGGTTTCTCTGTGTAGCCCTGGTTGTTCTGGATTTCGCTCTGTAGACCAGGCTGGCCTTGAACTCACAGAGATCTGCCTGGCTCTGCTTCCCGAGTGCTGAGATCAAAGGTGTGGGCCTCTCCTCCCAGCATCTATGACTCTTCTGTTGAAAATAAGGGCCAGCTGGGCTTGCAAATCCCCACCTGTCCTGCAGGGGACGCCGCATTCGCAAGGGAGGGGACGGCACAGGCCGCTGGGGCCATGGCTAGAAAAAAAAAGGCTGCTGAAGGGATAATATGTGGGTTATCTGACCGCTTGTTCAGTTACCAGTCTGTCAGCAGACCTATCAGCAGTCCTTATCCAATGACACCCCTCAAAACAATAATCTGTCCCCAGTGGCTCCTGGAACCTGCTGCTAGGGAGACTCTTCCTTCGCAGTGGGGGGTCACTGAGTGGAAGGGCCCTGGGCTGAGCGGGGTGGGGGGTTACCAGGACTCCATGATCCTGGCTGTCTGGGTTTGTTTTCCCTTCCATACTTCATAACTCAGCTCCCAATAGGACTGTTTTGAACTGAGAAAGGAAAGTTGCTTCAGTAACCCAGTTAGAAAGCCACCTAGGAGGTGGACATGAGAGGCATGTCCTGAAGAGAAGACAGCTCTCTGTCTGCAAACACCTTTCCTACCCTTTCTGGGGCGCCCTCAAGCTAGGCTGCACCTGCTTCTTGGCAGGGTGCAGTCTAAATTTAGGATAAGGGCTGTTTCTCCAAACACTAGTGCCAGGCGCCACCCTCAGGTATTGGAAAGGAGAAAGGCTTGAAAAACCTGCTCTTCCATTTGGTCAGCCCGGCCTTGTAGGGAAACTCCCTGGAGAACTCTTAGGAAAGAAGAAGGGTGGGGTTGAGAGTGAAATTTCCATGGAGAGGGGCCCTACACCACCTCCTCCTCCTCCTCCTCCTCCTCCTCCTCCTCCTCCTC